AGGGGGGGGGGGAGAGAGAGAGAGAGAGAGAGAGAGAGAGAGAGAGAGAGAGAGAAATCCTACCTATTTATGTATCATTGGTTGATTCTTGTATATACCCTGATCGGATCAAATCCTCAACCTTGGTGTACTGGAATGATGCTCTAACCACCTGAGCTACAGGGCTAGGGCCAGGAGGCACTTTCAATAACCCTCGGTGACAAGAATTGAGGGCCTAGATGACAACATGGTTCAGAAACAAGGAAATGGATTCAAGACATATTCAGGGGACAGAACTAATCGAACTTGGTGACAAAGAACAAATGTGAAGGTGAAGAAGGAGGAAAAATTGAAGGCGACTCCCAGTTTCCAGCTTGAATGGCTCAGTAGAGCTACTCAACAAGATTATAAATACACGAGGAGGAATCAGGAAAGAATTAATTTAGTTCTTCTATTAGGCACTCTAACTGTGGAGAGAGATTACTTTGGAAGTGGGTCTGAGAGTGATCAAAGTAAAGGTGTTCTGTGTGTGAATGAATGTGTCAAGTTAAAAGAGGACTGGAGTTAGAACCCTGAGGAACATAGAGAGAGGGCATTCCTCGAATCCAAGGCTCACATCTCCGCTGCCACACTGGATTCCACTCCTTTGTGCTCCTTTAGTCTTGCTCCACCAACAGCCCCTTCCTCTCTTATAGCTCCAGACTCTTCCCATTAGCCTACATACATGTGAAAGTTTTCTCTGTACTAAAAAATGAGGCCCCCTCCTGGACCATGCTTTTCTAGCTTTCACTGTATCTCATTCCCTTTCTAAATTCTTGAAAGAACAATCTAACTTCACTCTCTTTACTTCCTCATCTCCCATTCACCTGGCTTAAAGCAATCTGGCGTCTGCCTCTACCTCTACCACTTCTACCAAACTGCTAACTGTATGGTCAGCAATCATCTCCTAACTATAGAATTTAATGAACACCTTTTAGATCTTGTTCAACTTCTTTGGGGCATGAAAGTTTCTTGTAACTTTCTTTTCTTGGCTTTCAGGACACCACTGCTCTCACCCACTTCTACTATCTTCAACTGTTAGCCCTGACCCTCTGAGTGCTACATTGAACATTTTATCACTTAAAGCTTTTGGGGTTAGGTGGAGGAATAAATACACAAATCGATTGGCCATTTCCAATAGGCAACAAAATTCAACCTGTCCCAAATTGTACTCTCCTGCCCTGTGTTCCCTCTGACTCTCTCCTCCACAATCCTCCTCCTCCATCTGTAGTTTCTATATTGTTTACTGACACCTGAGGGGGAAAAAAAAAAAAGACAAATCATCACACTGTACACCTTAAACTCACAGTTATATGGCAATTCTATTTCAATAGAGCTGGGGGGAAAAAAATAAAAAAAATTAAGAAGCATCCTAGGCATGACTCTGTCACTAACTCCTGAGGATTAGTTTTACAAAGTGTTTCTTAGGATCTGCCACCTCCTTTCTATCTGCACTGTCATTGCCTTAGCTCTGGCCCTTAGATCTTCTACATAAACTGTAACAGTACCATCCTTACTGGTTCTCTCCCCTCCAACCCACCTCTGGATTGTAACCAAACCAAATGTACCAGAAGATATGTCAGATCATGCTATTCCTTTATATATTTAACTAGAGGCCCGATGCACGAAATTCATGCAAGAGTAGGCCTTCCTTCGCCCAGCTGCTGGCACCTGCTTCCCTCTGGCATCTGGAACCCAGGCTTCCCTCGCAGCCCTGGCTTTGTCCCGAAGGTCGTCTGGAAGGACGTCCAGGCTAATTAGCATATTACGCTTTTATTATTATTATAGATTTTCTTGTAGTGAGAAAACTACAACCCAGGGGCCAAATCCTGCCAGGAGCCTGCTTTTGTAAATAAAGTTTTATTGAAACACAGCCATGCCTATTGGTTTAAGTATGGTCTGTGGTTCCTTTCGTTGGATAAAGTTGAGTAGTAGCAGCAGAGATTGTGTGGCCCCTACAATACCTAAAATATTTAATATCTGGCCTTTAGAGAAAAAGTTTGCTGACCTTGCTCTGGAGACGAGGCTAAATCTCTTTCCTTGCTTGCATTAAGCATAGTGGCTGCCATTCATCATGCATCACCTATATGCCGAGCTCTGGGCTAGGAATCCCTACGTGTGTTACTTTAAACTTTACATAGAGCCCGCAGGGAAATATCACTATCCTCCTCTTGCAGATGGAGAAAACCAAGGCTTAAAGAAGTCAAAGATCTGCACAAAGCCACAAGTCAGTGGTGACATTCAAACACAGGTCAGTATGATTTCAAAGACCATACTGCTGATGCCATCGACAAAAACAAGAAGAAGATAGGCCCCTTCATTAACTATTCTCTGCTCACCTTTCTGATCGAATCTTTATGTCCTACATACTAGGGCCCTGGGCTCTACCTGGCCCCACTGAGGTTCTTGAGGTGGGCCGTTTCCTCTGCACCAAGTCCCTGTTTCGCTTTCCTGTGCCGCTAAGAGAACTCTTACAAGGCTTCTAAGCCAAGCACCCTACCATCACCTCCTCTGTGGTTGCAAGCAGCCACCCGTCCTGAGTGTCACAGGAGCAGGCTGGACCTGCCCCCACGGGAATACTTCTCACACTGCAGGACTCCTGTAGGCCGCCCTGGGACATAAAGGGACCTGCGCTCATCAAGCGGCAACTTCAGGTGCGGTCTTCTCTTCATTGCTGCGCCCCTCACCCCTTTAACCGGGGATTACACAGCTAATGCATGTTCAGTAAGTGCGTGTGGATCTGCGGTCATTTCTCCCCAGGGGAGAGAAAACGGGGAAGGTTTCTGCGGCATTGGACAGGGCTGCTATCACCGCCAAAGGGGTCGCGTGCAGCACCACCCCTAACCCCTAGGCGGCGCCCGTGCGGCTCCGCTGTTCTGCAGCTCGAGAGGCTCCGGCCAGGGAGGCCCCGC